ACTCTCTCTCTCTACTCTCTCTCTCTACTCTCTCTCTCTACTCTCTCAGCTGCAGACCCCTCCACAATGCTTTCTGTCTTCCCCAATGTACTCACTCTCCGTCCGTCTGTCTCTCGCTGTCTCCAGTTCTTGCTTTCTATCTCTCCACTGCCCACTTTCCCCCACTGTGTTCGTGCTGTTCTCCCAGCATGCTGCCTATCATCATGTTTGCTCTCGCTCTGTTTCTCCCCCTCCATGCTGTCTCTTGTTCTGTCATTTACCCCACCAACCTGTGCTCACTCTCACTGTCCTGCTCCCCGCCACACCCCACCATTGTGTATACTGTCTCCTATGCAGTTTGCTTCTCTTTCCCTGTCTCTGTCTCCTCTACCTGCCCTCCATAATCGCACACCCTTGCACTCTGTCCTCCACACACCCACTCCCACCAGCTGTCCTTTTCATTTCCTAGGACTGCAAATTGGAAAGAAACAGGGAGGGCCAACAACATTCCTTCCTGCTGCATTACCATAGTTAGTGGTCCACTCCTTGTCCTAGATGATACCAAGGGAGTTGGAGATCTGCTGTGGCAGGCCTGCACCCCTTTATATCTCCCTCCATCATGCGCAGGAACCAGTCTCCTAGCTCTCTGTCTCTCTGGCGCTGTCTCTCTGGTGCTTGCTTGCGCTCTCTGTCTCTGTCTGTGTCTCTCTGTCTCGTGCCCCCTCTCTTTTTTTCTTTTTCTTTTTCTTTTTCTTTTTCTTTTTCTTTTTCTCTCTCTCTGGCACACGTTCTGACTCGCGCTGTCACTCTTTCACCCTCACGTGCACTGTACAGCCTGCACTGACTCTGGGAGATACAAAAGGGCAGGAGCTGGCATTGAGTTCAAATATTGCTGGGCACTGATAGCGCACACAGTGCAGAGTCAACCTACGACCCTTGAACCTGCCTGACACTGATGTCTCCCTGCAGTGTTGGCTCAGAACAAATGACACTGGGTCAGGCTGAGAGACGAAAGCCCCTTCGAAGGACATGAAGTGTCTGTGTGTGGGGAAGATGTGTTTACTATGGGGTGGGGTGCTCAAGCTATCATGGCCAGGGTCAGCAAGGGTGTGAGGGGACCATTAGACCCTCAAGTGACCCCCCTTGAGGGTGTTGGCTGTCGGCTGTACTCTTTTGATGCCTTCAGGGAATAACAGTAAAATAAATTCCTTGGCTGGGTTCAAACAGCATCTCGCCTGAGATACCCTGTGAATAATGGTCTAGTTCTTGTTTGCTTTCCTCAATGGCAGCTATTGATCAATGAAAGACATGTGGTAGATGCTAGATCCACTCAAACCAATCAGCTTTCACGCTGTCCGTGCACTCTAAACCTCTTTTTAAGAAAAAATGAATAAGTCGTACATTCCCTTTAGGCAAGATTCTGGCAGAACTAGCTGTGTGAGACGGTTACAAAGATAACTATTGTGAAATGTCAGCTGAAAGCTTAATTCCTCTCTGTCACTCAGCGGGTTCTCCTGCTGGCTTCTTTCTCTCGCCAGTCAGAGATGACACTCTTTTTAACGTTGCTTTCTATCTGTTTGAATAGACCCTGAGCAAAGTGGGAACGAGGGGGTCAGAAACATAGTCCGGCATCACCTTAATTCCTCGCTGTGGCCTAGCTAACTGCTGGAGCCTTGCCCTGCGCTTGCCAACGCGTACTGCCCATCAATTGTCTCTGTGCTGCGTTTTAAGTGTTAATTCTCCCATAGACAGTCTAACCCCCTGTGCCCCAATTGTCCCCTACATCTTCACTCCAGGATCCAGGCCTGCCCTTGGGCTGGGAAGAGCCTAAGGGAGGAAGTCCACGTGGCTTCCCTAGATTCCCCTTGACTGATGCCCACTAGATTTGTGTGCGCGGGCACACAAACACGGACAGGTTTGGCTGTCACATGCAGTCAAATAGCTGATTCATTTATGAGTGAAAACAATTGAAAATGCCTGGAGTAAATAGGTTACACAATTTTGTGCCTATAATTGATTGGCTATACACCCGAGACTGTGCATATGCTGCCAATCGCACACCCCTCCCAATTTTGCTACAGGCAGCTTTTGCTCTGCCATTTTCTACCTCCTGGGCATCACCATCTTCAACCAAGTAGTCCGTGTGAACGTCTTTGAGCTCTTCCACCATGGGGGCTTCATATTGGGAAGGTTATAGAAACCGGTTATAGCTGTGGGCTATTGGTCAGTGGGCCCTGGTGTGTACTAGCTCGGTTTTAACAGCCCTGCCTTAACTGAGACCTCCCAGCTGGATACAGAGCGGGCACCAAACCAGTTAGCTTCCGGTTATTCCTGGCTGTGCACCCCCCCCACCCGCACCCACAATACACAAGTGGTGAATCCCGACTCTGATCCCACCCTGAGACACTTTTCCCTCTCTCTTTTGCGATCCCTTTGGGTTCTAACCCCCTTGTTCCCAATTCCTTGCAATGTTTTTTGCCCTGTTCATTTCTTCTTTTCCTCCTTTGCTCTTCATCAGCCTCCAAAAAAGATTTGGGAATATACGCCGGGAGAATGCTCTATTCTTTCTGTAGAGAATAGAAAGGTAACTCGTTTCTCTGTGTCCACCCTCCCTTGTCTGATGGCATTAACCCGTCGGGTGCTGCAACCCATCAGCTTCTGAAAGAGGAGGATTGCAAGTTCTTGTTTTCTGTCAACGACACTGACCCCAGTCTTCTCTCTTTCAGATCCTGACCAGCTTGACTTTTCTGTTTTCATTCCAGACTGTCAGCATTTTATTTCCTTTCTAATATTTGCATTCCTCGTTGTATCCCTGGTCCGCAGATCATTGTGGAGTGATTAGTTACTGATTGTATGCTCTGACATCAAATCACTGTGGCTTCGGGACTGTAATCACTGATGCATGATGTGTCCCTGTTGTACTTAGATTGTGCAAGCAGCCTTTGCCAATGGTGTTAACAGCAATCAGGTATTCTTTTTCGCTTTGCCCCTATCGACTTGCTTCTAGTGCTTTATCTCTTTTTGTGCCACATTGTACCCTAAATGCAAAGTCTGACTGGTATCCCCCAACCAGAACAGTCTCATGGCTCATGTTCAGAGAATAGAATTGTTTCCAGTCGCTGACAGTGAATGGCCATCTGAGGTGGGACTACCACTGCTCCACCCAGGAGCTTTATGCTTTGAAAGAACAAAAGACTACGGATGGTGGAGATCTTAAATAAACACAGGGAATGCTGGAGAAACTCGGGTCTAGCAGCATCTGTGGAGAAAGAAACAGAATTAATGTTTCAAGTCTAACGTGACTGTTCCTTGGAACATTACTCCTTCGTGGGATGTGGGTGTCATTGGTGGGGTCAATATTTATTGCCCTTGAGTCTCCGACAAGACCATTTCAGAGGGCAGTTAAAAGTCAACCTAATTGTTTTGGGTCTGGAGTCACGTGTAGGCCAGAACAGGTAAGGGCGGGAGATTTCCTTCCCTAAAACTCATCAGTGAGATAGATGGATTTTTATATTCAATTGTAGTTACTTGGTGACCAGTTTTGATTCAGAATTTAATTAATAAATCTGATCAGCTGCCATTGTGATTTGAACTGTTGCCCTAGAGCATCAGTCCAGTGATCTCACCACTGTCACCATCTCCCCAATTTAATATCCAAGAGTTTAAAACTGAGCTGGAGCTATAACTCCTTCTCCCAATTATGTAGGGACACACAAGAATAAACCACTGCTGCAGGACAGTTTCCTCACGGACTTCAGGAGCATCCTGGAGAAAGGGATAGTTTTTTTTACTCCAGCACAGCTTCATGGGCACTACTGTTCCATGATTCCCTTGGGAACTCCAGAATCAAGGAACACTTAGGGTCATAAAGATACACAGCACAGAAACAGACCCTTTGGTCCAACTCGTCCATACCCTTCGAATATCCGAAATTAATCTAGACCTGTTTGCCAGAGTTTGACACACGTCCCTCTAAACCTTTCCTATTCGTATACCCATCCGGAGTGCAGCGAAGGTTTACCAGGC